TTCTGCAGGACACCCTGAGAGTCCCAAGGCGAGGAGACACTGTAGGTGGGCTGATGAAGGGTCTCTGCAATCCAACTGAGCACATGCAGACACCAGCTCCGAGGCCCTCACCACTGCGGCATTAGGTTACTGGACCTTCTTAGGGCTTTCAGCAAGCTCACTTAGGACCTTACATTTGGCCCCAGGAGTCAGGCATGCAGGTGAAAAATGGCTCCTACCACCGAAGACCAGCATTCTGTAGCGGCTCAGCATTCCAAAGAGTGTCACGCAAAATACACAAAATTCCAATAGTTCTCTGCTGCTCAAGGCATAACCAGAGTTCATCTGCTCCTAACCTATATACTGGTTTGATTTCTCACAAGCCTCTACTCCAGCTGTCCTTTGCTGTCCTCCAATCATGCTCCATCCATTAGCTTTTGCTGTGTAACAAACCACCCCCAAACTTGGTGTCTAAAACCACCACCATTTATTCAGCTTATAATTCTGTCCATCAACATTGTGGGCTGGGCTCAGCTGAGGGGTTCTTTTGGTCTCATCTGGGCTTGCTCATGTATGACAGTCCATTGCTGAGGCAGCAAGGCACTAGTTGGCCTGGGTGGCTTCAGCTGGAATGGTCTTTCTCTATTCCACATGGCTGTCACCAGCAAGCTAGTTCAGGCTCGTTCATATGGCAGCTACAGAGTTCTGGGAGGACAAAAGCATTCAAGGCATTTTGAGGCACAGACTCAGAATCACCACACCATCACCTCCACCATATACTACCAGACAAAGAAAGTCACAAGGCCAGCCCAGATTAATCCACCTCTGAGCTGCAAAGTTGGATTGCAAAGATGCATGGGTACAGACAGTGAAAGAATTACAGCTGTTTTTTGTAAACTCTAGTATACATGCCTTCTGCTTTCTTGCTTCTATTCCTTTGTTCAACTTGTCTGTTCTGCCACCCTCCCCCCATGTTTTCTTTTCCTCCTTAAGTATCTTCATTCTTCAAGACTTAATCATATCTCCTCATTGGAAACTTCTCTACCTACTTCAGCTAGAAGGACTCTCTCTCTCTTTCCTCTGCATCTTGCAGCCCTGTTACATGTCCTGGTTTGCATGGACTGTGACTTATTCTACCATGCTTGTTCATGGGCACAATCGCATGTAATATTCTCAAGGGCAAGGACCACATACTGTATGCTTTGGGCACTGAACACAAAGTCAGTGCACACACATAGTAGGTAATCAACAAATGCTTCAGGAATCCTTTTTTTCTGTGCACATCTGGTTTTGCCTTAAAGTTCAACTCCAAGCTTGCAGATCCTGCTTTTTCTGTAGATTCTAGGTTTCTGAAGGAGAGACTATGAAGAAATAAAAAAATAAATACTTTGGTGAAACCCATTCAAAGTTGGACCCCATTCATCTTTTGAGCTGAGATCAAATGTCTTTTGCTATGAGGATGGGTATGAGACTAGATGTAATTCCCATCACCAGTGTTGAGATTTATTTGCCTTCTTTTTGGATTTCTCCTCTTCATTTAAGGACCTCGTGGATTATTTACGGGTTCACTCTCATAGTGCTGTTTATGCTACATCCATGAGCCCACCGATAGCAGAGCAAATCATCAGATCACTAAAACTTATCATGGGACTGGATGGGACCACACAAGGTAAGAGGATCTGCAGAGAGCACAGCTCCTGGACCTCTCTGTCTCCCTTCTGCTTCATCAATCTCCCCACTTGTCAAATACACAACTTTATCTTATGGAACCCTATGTGTAAATAAAGCCATGTGATAAATTACCATGTGCCATTACCACATCACACAAAAACCCTTTGTTAAAGCAAAGAAAACTTTCTAATCTACCTCACTGATAGTTTTGTGTAATCAGTTATGTTGAAGTGAAGCAAATATTGTGTGTGTGTGTGCGTGTGTGTCTGTGCGCGTGTTTGCCTGTGCTTGCTTGGGGGTGTCACTTGTGTTTCCCTAAGACCAAAGTAGTCAATTTAATATCCAATTTTTCAATCCTTTTATTTTTTTATAGCCAGAGGTTGGGCAGTGGAAGGCCACCGCTGGCCATTTGAGGATATATAGACAAAATACAATAACTTTCCAGCCATTTCTTTGCCAGTGGGTCACCAAAGCTAAACTGTGCTACTTTGCTCAACCCAAATTAATCCTCTTTTTGAAAAACTGTTTCACAAAAGCCTCTTGGAACTCTCCCTCTGTCTTGCAGAGATGGTTTGTAGAGATTCTACCACATGTCACACGCCAGAGGGGATACAGTGCTGAATAAGGCAGTTCTTGCTAACAGGGAAGCTGGGCAGCACGTTTATGGAAGTAGCAATTTATCCTGGCCACCAGACTGTACAATCCATGTGCCTCACCTCACCTCCCAGCTGGCCTGAAGTCCTGCACTGTTTAAGGCAACCCTCCAAACCTGCTATTTCAATAGAAGTATGGGGAACTCCATCAGTTTTCAATATTATTAAAGCAGCAGAACACTTTCTTCACATACAGATTCTACCAGAAGCCTACTATGTAAAACAGATTAGAACAAGCCTGATCTAGTAAAAGTAGTATATTCACTTACCCCCATATTGATGACCCCTGGGGCCCTTCTACTGAGCCCTAGCACTCCCCAAGACTTTTGTTTGAAAGACAGGACTTTTTCTTTTTCACTAAAGCTAGGTAAAGGCCTGCAGGAGGATATTGTTTCTTCCATTTAAAATGCAATGATTGGCTGATCTCTAGGATCCCCTCCAGGCTTATCTTTTTGGTGTTATGTATCTGCATCTTATTGATTGGTCTTTGTGAAAAGAAAGTGGCAGTCCAGTCTAGGAAGGCCCTATGGTATGAGACTGAAGGTAGCCATCTGGATCTGACTCCAGTGATACTATTCATTCATGTGTGGCCTTGACAAGTGACTTATCTGTTCAACCCCAAGCAAGTTACTCAACTTCCCTGTACTTTGGTTCATCCAGTTGTAAAGTGAGAAAAATAATATTTATGAGTCAAGGTTTTTGTGAGAAGTAGGTAAATTAATCTGTATAAAATATTTAACATTGTGTCTGGAGACAGTTGTTAGTATGTATTATATAATTGCTTGCTACTCTTATTTGCTGTTATTCCTGAGGTGATCAAGAAGTATTTGAACAATTTCTCAGAGATACTGTAGGAAGCATCCTTATGACAGAAGTGAAGTAAGACTAGATGTCCTCTAAGATCCTGGATTAGTCAGGATAAGGGAATTTTTGCCACCATAACAAATTAACCCTGTAGATCTCAGTGGCTTAGCAAAACCAAGGTATTTCTTACTTGCATCATATCTAATACCAATCAGTCAGCTCTCTACACAGTGCTCATCCATGAAGGCAGTGACTCAGGCTGCTTTTACCTTAAGGTATGATAATCTCAACATGTGGCCTCCATGGTTACCCAGGTAAAAAGAACAGGAGGGTCAGTCTAGCGGTGACACTTATCACCTTGCTTACAATCTGTTGGCCAAAACAAGTCATATGGCCATACCCCCCAAAAAAGGTGGGGGTAAATTAAGGGATACAGATATTGGACAAACAAGTACCTTTTTTTGTGGGGGGGGTTCTTTTTTTCTTTTTTATTTTCTGGGATTTTTTTTAATGTGAGACAAAGTCTTGCTCTGTCACCCAGGCTGGAGTGCAATGATATGATCTCGGCTCACTGCAACCTCCACCTCTCTGGCTCAAGCGATTCTCCTGCCTCAGCTTCCCAAGTAGCTGGGATTACAGGCACCTGCCACCATGCCCAGCTATTTTTTGTATTATTAGTAGAGACGGGGTTTCACCATGTTGGCCAGGTTGGTCTCGAACTCCTGACCTCAGGTGATCCACCCACCTCAGCCTCCCAAAGTGCTGGGATTACAGGTGTGAGCCACTGTGCCTGTCCTAAACAGGTATCTTTTAACCTTTTAAAATTGAAGCCATATAGAGTGTCATCTTTTCCTACATAAGCTTTCCACTGTATGAAAAAACTGGTCTGGAACCACTGGCTTCCCACAAACCCATATTAATTCCTTCTTAAACTTCAAGTGTTTCTTAATGGAAATTCAGTTATTTGAGATTTAAGCAAAATTGCAAGTTAAGTGAATTGTCTCAGAATGACTAGAATTATTCTTTGGTCTTGTTTTAAAGATAAGTGACTAGGAAAAAGTTATACTAGAAATTAGCCTATGTCTCAACAAAAATTTTCACTCATTTCTGGGGTCCTTTGGTGTATATGTCATCCAAATCAGTTGCTTTATATGTATGCAACTTTACAATCATTTCTTTCCCTCCTCTGGATTGGTTTACCTCTTCATCACAGACAGAAGTTGCTCTGCTGATCTAATCACAATAGAAGATCTGCAGAAAAATTATATTTAAATACATGATTATTTGCCCCTCAGTAATCATCTGCCATCAATTTTTCTTCCCCTGAGGTAGGAGACATTTCCCTTGCTTCTCTCTCCTTACCTTATACCTAAAGAATTCTTTGGTTATTTTTTTTAACCTCACAGTTAAAGTTTCTCACTTTACTCCTCTTGTCATCTTAAGGGAGGAAAAAAAAAAACAGAAACTGCTATGTGTATGGTCTGGTTTTTTTAGAGGCAAGATAAGAGAATGAGGGAGAAATAGAGGACATGTTATTTTAAAGAAACAAACAAAGGAAAGTAGAAGAAAAAGAAAAGTGACAGAATTATCAGCCAAATTTCAGGTGGTTCTGCCTGACACATCTTTTGAAGCATTCAAAGGCACACTGTGAATGACCACACTAGCCTCATTTGCAACAATGCCTGCTTTAAATCAAATGAGCAGGACAGGTTAGGAATATTGCATTAGCTTACCCCTTTCTGCAGAGATAGACTCACTCTCAGGGTAAAGTTGCCCAGAGCTCAAAGGATGCACTGTGTCATGCAAGAGCTGCCTTTTAGGATCTGAGAAAGAAGAGCCGGTCTCTGAGCCTTCATCTTCAGCCCACTCCATGCCACTGTGATTGCCTTTCAAAGCTTTGTTTCGGGTTCATTTTGGAGAGCGGTTGGCCAGATCTGTTCCTTGATGAATGTCTTCACTTTAATCTGCAATGCAAAGCCATATGCTTCAAAGAAAGGCAAGCTACAGGAATAAGGTCGGTGTTCCTTTGATGCCAAGGTTCAAAGATGAAATAGCAGTCCCAGTGAAATGACAATGTTTATGCACAAACAGCCACCTTCACTCTGCAGCCAGGCTGCTTGTGGAGGTAATGCACACAGGCTGAGGGGCTACAGGCCGCGTGTGCATTCCATATGCACCAAGACCCTTTTAATCTCCTGACCTGTCACTCTGAGTAGTGCAGTGGGCCCAAAAGTGGAGATGTGATTTCTCCATCCTAATGGATGTTGGGTGGTCTTTCAGCCAAGCCAATGTTGTAAGCCCCTTAAGGGCAAGAAATGTATCTTAAATTATTTTGGTGTTCCTCTGAGTGTCAGACTCAGTACTCAGGTTAATAAATATGTCATGACTCAACTTCCATCTTGCCAGCCTGCTCCACTTCAGGTCAATGTTTATGCTAAATAAGATCATGGGGATGTTTACCTCATAGGACTGGGAGCAGGGAATTTGTTCCACATCAGTTGTGGCAGCAGAAGGGATCACTCAGTGATTGAGGTGACTTTTAGAAAGGTCTAGAAAGATCACAGCTCAGTCATTTTCTTGTCTAGACATCACACACATAGCCTCAGGAGGGTGAACCCCAAACCACATCGACTCCCCTAATGAAAGCATTGTCAAAAATCATCTTATTACTCATATTTAAATCTTTGATGAACATTTTTCAAGTGATCAGTCAACATTTTTTTGAATTCCCAATCTTGATCTTACCTTCCTATACCTTCTTTCCCCAGCTCCGGGTAAACTTCCATTTCTCAGAGAAGACAGAGGTTGTAGGATGTGGCTAATTCACAGAGTGTGCTCTGTAGCGGTGCCTGGCCCGACATTTGCTCCATGAGTGGCAGGTCATCTTCCCTCTCTTGGCCTCAGTTCCTTCATTGTAAATTAAGGTTGTTAGAAGAATTAAGTGATGTGATACAGACAAGAAACTTAGCATGATGCTTGATACATACTAAACACTAAAGACATCATAGTTTCAACTCACTGCTTTCTTCCCTTACGTCTGAAAATTTTCCAATAGCTTTACCCACCCTGGAGTTCCCCCTTTCTCTCAGAACTCACACCTTCGTATTCTATCAGCAACTCATGCACACTGTATTTGATATATATCCAGAATCAGGTCGCTTCTCACACAGCCACTACTCTCTCTATCACCTCTCACCTGGATTCCTGGAGTAGCTTCCTGAATATTCTCCCCACTTCTGCCCTTGCCTTTTTATAGTTTGTTCTCCACACAGAAGCCAAAATTACCTTTTTTAAAATGGAGAAGAAAAACTAACTCATACCCCTGTCATTTCCCCGCTCGAACTTTCCATCACCTTTTCAGCTCACTCAGCACAGAGTCCAGACTGTGGTCTTCACGGCTTCTCAGCATATGGTCGCCTCCATATGTCCCGCCACCTCTCCCCTTGCTCAGCCCACTGCAGGCAGGCGGCATCCTTGCTTTTCCTAAAACACAGAGAGCAACTCCTGCAGAAGGGTCTTTGCACTTGCTGGTCCCTCTAGAACTTCTCTTCTGACCTCTATCTGCATGGCCCACTCCCTCCCTGCCATCCCCTTTTGGCTGAAAATCTGCCTTATTAGGGAAGTGGCTGTATCCTAAGTAGCAAATCTTCCTGTTGTTCTAATTCTCCTTACCTTGCTTTAATCTTTTTTATTTTTTTATTTTTATTTTTTGAGGTAGAGTCTCTCTCTGTCACCCACGCTGGAGTGCAGTGGTACCATCTCAGCTCACTGCAACCTCCACCTCCTAGGCTCAAGTGATTCTCATGCCTCAGCCTCCTGAGTAACTGGGACTACAGGTGCACCACAATACCTAGCTAATTTTTGTTGTTTAGTAGAAATGGGGTTTCACCATGCTGGTCCAGCTGGTCTCGAACTCCCGACCTCAAGTAGTCTGCCTGCCTCAGCCTCGCAAAGTGCTGGGATTACAGGCGTGAGCCAGCCCACCCTGCCACTTTAATCTTTATAGCATTCATGAATACCTGACAAATTGTATATGTATCTGCTTATTGTCTGTTTTCCCTCACTAGAAAGTCCAGGAGAACAAGCACTTTGTCTATTTTATTACACCGAGAACAGTGCCTGGCAAGTATAGGTATTTCAAAATTATTCATCAAAATAATTCTTCTCTCTATCCTTCTTATCTCAGCAAATATATTGTTCTGATCTCTTTTACATCTCTGTGCTTGATTCTTTCCCTTTTCACCTTCTAAAGACACTACCTCTTTGCACAAATTTGCACTTCTTGGTTTGTCTCATCCTGAAAGACTTCCCTTGCCCCTTCTTTTTCCAACAGCCACCAAGCCTCATCACATTCATTGCAGCAAATCTCAAAAGTGTGAGACATTCTGCTGGCTTCCCATCTGCCCTTTCCATGCAGTTTCCAGCCCCTGCAGCCTGTCCCCTGCCTCTTCTCTGCCTGCTTGCTCCATGGATCCTGCTCCCTCTAAAGCTACTCCTGTAGACCCACTCTCCTGCTTCTCTGCCAGATTAAACTTGACCTCTCTGCATCATTCACTCTCTTTGAAAATGGTCTTCAAAACTGCCTTTGTTGTAGAGATGCTCTCCTCTTCTGGTTTTTCTCCTATTTTTCTATTTGTTCTTCCTCTCTCTTCTGCCAGGCCTCTTTCCCTACTGGTATTTGCCCGAATCCCGCACTCTGTTCTCTTTACAGTTCCCTCTGCACAAGTACCGTCACCTGTTTCCTTTCCAAAACAGCTTGCAGACCCTCTACCCCCAGAGATTTCTGCAGGAAATGCTTGTTGAATTCTAACAAGCCACAGGTGCTGCTGCTAGTCCAGGGACCAGCCTTTGAGCATCACTGCTGCATAATGACCGTGTAGTCACTTTTTCCCTCCCATCAGACACTAATGGCTTTGGATTTCTTGTGGATAGAAACCATTAAATCTCCATATCAGGCTGGGCTCGGTGGCTCACACCTATAATCCCAGCACTTTGGGAGGCTACGGTGGGTGGATCACTTGAGGTCAGGAGTTCGAGACCAGCCTGGCCAAAAGGGCAAAACCCTGTCTCTACTAAAAATACAAAAATTAGCTGGGCATGGTGGCACACACCTGTAATCCCAGCTACTCTGGGGGCTGAGGCAAGAAAATCGCTTGAACCCTGGAGACAGAGGCTGCAGTGAGCTGAGATAAGGGGTGGCACCAGGGCTGAGAGGCAAAAAAAGAGGCCCTGAGCCAGCACATGAGATATGGGGTTCATTGAGGGGAACTTACATACAGATATGGTAGGCTGGACAGTAGAACTGCCACCACTTATAAAAAGCATATCGTTCATATAGCATTTTCACTTAACATCCTTTCCCTAACAATCTCCACCTGGCAACCTTTAGTCAACCCAAAACAAAGGGCCTCAATCCCCTGTATAGCAAGCATCCCACTGGACAAGCCGGGGGCTCAGATGTTCATCATAGTTTAGGAATGTATCTCCAGTTGGCCATGCTCAGAACTGTGAACACACATTCAGGTGTGTCTGCCATGCAGGGCCATTCTCAGGAAATGCTTAAGCTCTCATGGTCAGGTGCCTACTCCATACACAGGTGCATCTACCATAGAACAATCCACACAGTTCCTCACACATCATAGGCCTTCAATACATACTTTGAAGTTGAATTAGAAAGAAATGTGTCAAGTCCCAGTTATGCCATGATGCAGATGCTAACAAAATATCTGCTCAGGGTCATCTTTTCATCAAAAGACTTGACGTGTATGCTGAATACTTAATATCAGCCATGTTGAGTAACTGAACTTGCTCATCAAGGACAACCTCTTCCTTACAATTCTTGTCTGCAGGCATGTCTAGTTTTACTCATTATGCCTATCGGCTTATTATAGAGTCACTGATGTTGGGGAAAGTTCCTCACATGACCCCAGCCATCATTTAATGTTTCATGATAGGAGTGCCTGACAGGAGGGAGACAGTGACTACGAGGTCATCATACAGCAGTGCTTCTCAAAGGGCGGTCTGTGGACCAGCAGGAGCAATATCACCTGGGGCTTATTAGACCTACAACAAAACATTTCTGAATCAGCTGTTTTAACCATTCCTCCAGGAGATTCTGGTACAGGCTCAAATTCGATAACTGTGTTTCTACATAACAGAAAAGAAACAGATCTGTGCAGAGGGAGAAGGAAAGCAAACAGAGGATGGAATTCTGGCAAATGCAAACAACGGCAAAGGACTTAGCAAAAAGGGAGAAGGAAGAGCAGGCAGAAGAATAAGAAAAACCCCAGATGAGAAAAGCGTGAAACATGTTTGGATGTTTAAACACTTTAAACCTCTGTTTAAACCAAAACATCAACGCTGCCCACTCAATTACTACTAGCACCTCGCCTGTCCTCCAGTCCCCATGACCACTTTGGCAGCAGGAATGGGAAAGAGCGTTTTGCTCATGGCATGCATGTGCCTCCCTAAGCCTGCACTTTCACGTAACTTTTTGAAGTATGTAAAGTCATTAAGAGTTCATGGTCACAACGTTCATTTTATTGCTTGATTTGATAGCAGACATCTGACAGAGTCTCTAATAACTGCTATCCCTTGGAATAAATTGGGTAGCATTTATAATAATTTCTTAAATTGTTTGTCTCTTCAGTGTATCTTCAATAGGTAGGATCCTATTGATGAAAAAAAATCCATAATGGGCAACACTGCTGGGCGTTGATTAATCATAGGATGACTCATGACAAAACATTCCATATTCCTATCTCAGAATGGCTTCTCTTATAATTAATGTGGGATCTGCTTAACTTGTGCTATAATTATCACTCACCTTTTTGGCTGTTCATCTTCCTCCCAGGATTGTTACAATTTTGATGACATGCTGCTGAAATGAAACTGGCAAGGTTTTTTGAAAAAAAAAAAAAAAAAAAAGATGATCTGCTTAACCCAATGCAGCTACTGAATATTAGATATTAAGGTTCTTGTTATATTTTCCATTTCATGTCAGGATGAAACAGCAACTATGTGTCTTATCAAGCACTTGCTTTGCCTACTAGCTAATGTTTTTAGATCTACAGACCCACTTATCTGAAGATCTGTTTAAATACTTTAGAATTTTTGTATAACATTAAGTCTCTTGAATACCACACTTAACCAGAGGCAGGAATAGTTGGAACAATTCTAGCATATGAATATGCCAGTACTTAAATTTGGAATACTCCATTAACTAGTTAATTCCTAATTTCACCAAAATGGCTATAAGAAAAATCACAATGTCTGTGATTTAATCAGTTTCTCTCTCAGCTATTATCTCAGTGCCAGGCTGGTGGGATCATCACCAACTTTCTGAATCACAAAACCACATCTTGTATTACATGCATAAAAATACTTGATTCATTTACAATGAAATGGCCGGTAATGTCTGTAGAAGGAAAACAGTAAAGGAAATTTACTTATAAGAGAAAAGACATACAGAATTTCAATTACTAATGTGTAATATCTGATTTCAGTAGAGTGCACCTGCATCATTGTTAATAACACCTAAACTTAAATGATAAATTTAGGAAAAATGAAATTCTCTATTTTTATTCAAAGTCACACATGTCCCTGTCTGCCCTTAAACCGAAGGAGTTTCTGGGTGGTAAACAGGGGAGGGGACAATGTGTCTGGAAGAAAAGGTAGGAGAAAACTAAAGAGAAAATTAAGATGAAGTAATGAATTGTGTTCTTCCTGGAAAACAAAAACTATGTAAGATCCTCAGAAATAGAGGAATTTGGCCAGGTGTGGTGGCTCACACCTGTAATCCCAGCACTTTGGGAGGCCAAGGCAGGTGGATCATCTGAGCTCAGAAATTAGAGACCAGCCTGGGCAAACTGGCAAAACCCTGTCCTACCAAAAAATACAAAAAATTAGATGGAGGTGGTGGTACACACCTGTGGTCCCAGCTTCTCAGGAGGCAGAGGTGGGAGGATCACTTGAGCCTGGGAGGCAGAAGTTGCAGTGAGCTGAAATCAAACCATTGCACTCCAACCTGGGAAACAGCGTGAGACCCCAAGTAAAAAAAAAAAAAAAAAATATATATATATATATATATATATATATATACACACACACACACACAAACACACACACATGCACACACACATATAAAATATAGAGAGAGAGGAGGAATTTGGCAGGATGAAATAATGCAATATTTTCTTTTAAATTTTGTTTTCTCAATATAGTATTCAAGATTATTGCTGCAAAAAAGGTCATAGTTACAGTGTTACTATTATCCTTTTAATTATCTTGGATATTATCAATTAAACAGATACTATCCAGATACTACTTCAGTTCTCCACTTTCCATAGGAAGAAAAAGGTTAACTAGCCTATCACAGAATGGAAACCCAGGTTTTGGTGGACTTTATTAAGAAAGCCAGTAAGAGAAGGATGGGGAAATTGAGTCTGCAAATCAGAGCTAA